AGGGCCTGGGTGGAAGCAGCGCTGCCCTCTCTCCTCTCTTTAGGCCCTAGAGGCTCTCCCGTAGGTGTCAGTGGGACGTTTGCTTCGTAGGCGCACGCTGTATAACCAGCTCCTTGTTGAAAAGAAGTTCTCCTGTTCGAACAGGATGCCACGATTATGGTTCTCACCGAGAAAACCTTTTTCTCTGCTTTGCTGTTTCTGGCCTTCGTTTCCCTTCTGGCTGCTGCATCCATCTTCCTTTCGTTTGCCTGCCTCAAGCACCAAATCAGCTCTTCTAGTGTAACTCGCTCAGATTGATTACCCCTGTCCGTTAGTTTCTCGAAAAAGATTGACTCTGAGCAAAGCAGGAGAGCAGCTTCTTGGTGGCTTGGCTTGCCTTGGTTATTGCTGGTTATTGAAGTGGCTACATCTAGTATATTACTAAAAATACAAAATCTGAAAAACACTGTGTTGGCATACCCTGTTGTCATGCATGCTGTACTCAGATGTAAGTGTCGAGATTTTTGACTGTATGCATGTGCTAGTAGGAATTAAGTGCATTTTATGCACCAGTTTGTAATCAGAATTTAAAAAGCAATTCTACTGTTGTATTAGGCCAGTTCTGGCCACTGTAGAGCTTCTGCCTTTAAATATACAGCCACTTTAGTAAGACTACTGCATAAAAAAGAGAAGGTGGAAATCGTTGTCCTTTGAATGTCTTCAGAAAAAAGACTGAAGAATTTGTCAATTATGGAGTTGTATTTTACGTAGTTTGTCCCTGGTATTTAGGAAGAGTCATTGAAGTGCATGGTTACGTTTTTTTATTTGAAGGTGCAGGTAGAACATAAAGATGCAGATCTGATTGTCTGTGAAACTTGCTTTGTTGGTTGGTTGTTTGTTAGTTTTCCCTGTAAGGCTACAGGTAGTCAGAGTTCACAAGGTAATTTGAAAACCTTAAGAAATCTCTTTGCAGCCTTGTTTGTGCTCTTGGACAGCTTACATCATCTCAATTGGCCAAGTGCATTCTCTCTTTTTTTTTTTTTTCCCCCCTCTCCGCTCCCCTGTCTTCATCCAGCACTAAGGAGTTAAACCAGAACAGTGTCCTTCTCCTTTCCCTGTTTTTTTTAGGTTTCTTTTTCACTCGCTCTGGGGTTTTATTTTTTTTCCGCTGCTATGTAAATCCTTGGGGTTAAAACAGAGGTTATCTGCATGATTGTGATACAGAAAAATCTAATCAAAAACAATACTGGCAATCTGTTTATGAATGGATTTGGTGTGCTTTAATCTTCAAAACCATAACTTTTTTGTTGTTGTTAGTAGCAGTTGTGGAAATAAACAGCTTCTCATAAACTGTTAACCTGGTTCTGCTTTCTTGCCTTCCTCTGTGAAAAATGAGTAGGTCAAGCCTCTATTTGAAAGCATTAGTGGCAACTTTAGTTAGAGTAATTGAGGTTTTAGTTTTGAAAATTAGTACTTTTTCCTCTCTAGAATTCAGATATTTCTATGTCAACTGTACTTTTAACTCCTTAGAATCATGTTGGTCAGCTACTGTTGTGTTAAGTTTGATGTGGGGGTGGTGGGATGAAAAGGGCTGGAAATTATGCTGACGCCACATAGAACAGTAATTCTTAAATAATTACGTTGTATCATATGGAGCATTTTCTGGAAAATTGTAAGACAGCAGTGGGAGTCATCTTTGAGGAAGTAGCAGTGGGTGGTCTGTAGAAGGAACTTCTTATGAATGGGCTGCATAAAACGAATTTACAGGAATTGCTTTTTTAAAACTCACTTGGGAAGATCCTATTGAGTTTACTTGAAGTAACTCAGCTCCTGCTGAGGTTTTTTGCGCTCAGTGCTGCAAACAATTCGTGCTTTAAAAGGTGCCATAGTATTGCTCTACTAGTACTGCCTTGTGTATTTTGTACCTATATAAACATTAGTTGACTTGTGTAATGCTGTTGCCTACTCATTTAGGGGAAATGGATTATCCCTTAGAACCGGTCTGCTGGAAACTTAATGCTGTGAAGACACTTTGTAATCTTTTGTTGTAAAAGTATTGTTTGCTCCCCTTGCTTTGTGTATTTATCTGCCTGTAAAGAACCTACCTTTTTCTCTAACACTTTTGAAAGAGCGTAGAGAAGTTACTGTTGTTAATGGTGACATTACCTAGGAACGTGAGGTTTGGTTGTTTGCCTTGTCTCTACCAGCTTCCTTCCATTCTCATTTGAAGTATAACTGGGCCTGTACCAAGAGCTTAGGTGCTAAACCCTCTCCTTAGGTTGTGTTCCCTTCTAGTACTGTAACATTGCTTACCCCTGGGTTTGGCTTCTGGCATTTTCTAGGCCTTTTGAACGAAACAGGGGTTTTCTTGGTGTAACACAGGGAACTGTAAAGCAGCTAAATTAAGTTAGCTTTTGCTCTGCAAGTTGTTCAGCATGGGTGTAGAGCATGTATCTAAGCATAAAATTACAGTGTTATGTTGTATGTATTAGAGTAGAGCGAGAGGGACAAGATAAAAAGGAAGTGTATTCCACCTCATTTTTTCCCCAGAATTTAAGGTACTTTCATTTCAGTTTTCATCTAAATCAAACTTTTCCTCTAACTCAGCTTTAGTGGCATTTTTTTTTTTTTCATTTTCTACTCCCTTCATGACAAGTAAGCCAGCCATTTGTGGTTTTCTTTTGGAAGCAATGATGAAGAGATTGCTTAAGTTTGTTGTGTGATGATGTTGCTTGTGAATTTAATTCCCAGTAACGCAATGTGAACCATTGTGTCACATGAATACATTTAAAGTCTTTCAACTTTCTGATTGTCTTCGACACCTTTCATAAATGCTTCATTACCATTGCAGATGAAGATGTTCCCTGTTGGCAGTCAGGCTACACAGCATAATTTAACATATGATTAAACTCTTCAAAACTGTTACAAACTTAACTCAGTATAAATCAAACATATAGTCCTTTCCAGTTTTATATCATCAGTGAAGCTGGCATGTTTAGGTAGTTCTTAATTTTTTCAGCACAGCTAATCATTTTATTTCTAAGATTATGAGTAGTGGATATAGCCCAGGTATGCTGCACTAGAGACTGCGTACACACTAGTGATGGACTTGAGGAGCTGTTAAACTGAATCCTAGAATTTTCTATTGCACCACATTTTTAAAAAAAGAGGGGGGGAAACATTCTGATAAAACTTTTGTGACCTGTGAAAGACTACAAAAATACCATTTGGATAATCCCAATTATTTGCTGAGATTGCTGTTTCTTAATGTATTCTGGGGCACTGGAGAAAAACTACCCTAGACAGTGTAATCATTAAATTTTTTTATTTTTTTTTTACGAGCTGAAAAATGTGGTGTCATGACATAAGGCAGACAGTGGTATGTCAGATTATATTTTTCCTTCCTAAATTAGACATTAAGCACCTCCTAAGCCTTGGGAAAACAAAGCAAAAAGCGATGCCCGAGTCACATGTGTGAATATGTTACTATGCGGTGGTTTTAATGGTTTCCAACTTGGCTGTAAGGAAAAGCTATTACTATCAGTGTAATAGCCATTGGACTGTTAGATTTTGCTAGCCTAGCAGAATATGCTAGACCATATGATTTTTGGTTTGCTCTAATACACTAATTCTAAGATGTCTTAGTCTGGTTGCTGCTACATAAGCAGCAGAATTGTCCCTGAGGTTAGCGTGAAAAGTGGAGTGGGACCTGACCGCTGTATTTTAAGATAAGGGTTAACATAACTGGGGAAAAACAACATGTGGCGGTTGATGCTTTTCTCCTAGTGCAGCATTACCTTCAAAATTGTCTCATGTGTAACCTTTGACCTGTGTGTTCCTGATACTTAAAGCATTTTTGTACTTGAGTATGGGCTTCAGAACGCAGTCCTGAAAAGTTTTGAAGGAAAAAGTAGATATCTTTGTACGGCAAAGCATTTTTATACTGTAGAATGTGGTGTTTCCAGAAAAAACCACAGCATCGAGGAAAAGACAGTAAAAGAAAAGCATTATGTTGAAATTTTTTTTTTGACAATGTGATTAGATGAGATTACAAAGTTAGCCTTAGTACTCAGAAAAATATTCTGAATATCTGTTAATAATGATGATGAAATTGTTACGGGACAAATTGCTCTAGAACAACAAGGATGTAAGGGTGAGGAGACTCGCGTTTCCAGCTGAGGTCTGCATGAGCTTAGTTTCACCAAGTGCTGTTGAAGCTTGTGGTCCAGTTACTGCCACATGTTGCGGTGCTCGGATAATCTTCCAATTATTCTGTATTTGATCATTGTTTCAGTTTGTTTTCCATGTGACTTTGAAATTGTTTTGTGAGAGAGTTCAGGTTTCTCATCTTGTGGGGGAGGAAAAACATGTATTCCTTGCACTTTTGCCATTTCTCATGCTGATTTTGAAGAGATTGAAATCTTGGGTTTGGGGGTTTGTTTTTATTCTTTTTTTTTTTTTTTTTTCCCCGCAGAAAAAGTCACTTCCAAGGAGACTTAGCTCTGTAAAGTTTTATATATCATGGGAACTGTTAAATAAAAGGATAGTGTAAGAGAAGGTGAATAAACTAGATCTTTAATAGCTATTGCTTCTTTGAAATATAAGCCCACTATATGTCTTTTGTAATCTATCTTCAGTCTTTCGAGGATGTTCAGTACTGCAGGATCAGGGTTCTTCCCAAGGGAAGAATAAGGGAAATATAGTTAACTTTTTTTTTTCTACTTTAAGCTGAATAGATTTTTCTTTGTTTAGCTTAGAGCAATAAATGTAGATCTCCAGACTGATGCTGCTCTACAAGTGGATATCTCAGATGCACTCAGTGAGAGGGACAAAGTGAAATTCACTGTGCATACAAAGGTAAAAGCTGGGGTTTGTACGCTGAACATTTTCTTATTTATATCGAAAATAAAGTTTGCTTGAACTGTTTATTGAAACAAGTGTAACACAATGCAAAGGAAATGAGAAAGTAGAATTATCTCGTGTTTAAGAAACTGTGTAGCTGCAGTGCTTAAGAAAAAGATAGTTTTTTAGCCTCTTAACTTTTTAGCCATTTTGAAGAGTGATGTTCAAATTTTGCACTGTTACGCTGTCTTGCTGTTCTCATGCTTATTAATTGGCTTCTGTGCAGGTAGGACTTTTAATATGCCTCAGTATTCTTCAGTGTAGGTTATTGTGAGATTAGCCATGGCTTCTGATTCTAAAAAAGTATTCCGTAATGAAATAAGATTCAAGAATGATTTTTAGTTACTGCTTGTTTATGGTGCCCTTTTTGAATAGATTTCTGTGTTTATGGATCACAGAATCACAGAATAGTTGAGATCGAATAAAATTTCTGGAGATCATTTGATCCCGTCTCCTCCCTCACTCCCACCATGAAGTCAGGCTGAGCCAGAGCACATTGTGCAGGGCTTGTCCATTTGGGTTTTGAATTACATCTGAGGGTGGAGGCGTTTTGGGCAACCCATTCTACTTGATTGCTACACTAATTAGGATGGGGTAATTATTACTGCACAAACCTCTTTTAAAAATTTTTTTGTAAAATCCTTACTTAAATGATTACATTATTTTTACAGGGATATTTTTGTTCTTTCTTCCAGGTGTTTTCCATATAGTAGTGAAAAACACTGTGGGGTTTGGGTGGGGTGTTGTGGTTTTTTTTCTGTTTGGTGGGGGTTTTTTGGTTGTTTGTTTTTTCTTTTGTAATTACTTCTCCTTTTTGTCCTTTTAGAGTTCCTTACCAAATTTCAAACAAAATGAATTTTCTGTTGTCCGGCAACATGAAGAGTTTATTTGGCTTCATGATTCTTTTGTTGAGAATGAGGACTACGCTGGCTATATCGTAAGTATTACGGTTCTTTTGGTTTATTTGCAGTATTTTTTGTGACTGCTTTTAAATGCAATGGAAATGGCAAATCAGGTGCTCTAATACTTCATTTCATGCAATTAAACAAAATTAACAGTTGAAGCAAGACTAGAGGGAAGTCACTGTAGCTTTTCTTTTATTTCATTCCTAAGGAGTAAGCAGTTTAATCTGTATCCAAAAGTATTTTAGTCCACTATGTTAAAAGTTTGGGAGATAGTTGAACTGTCTAACTTGGTGGTATTGTTTTTGCAAGGTAATGTTTAACTTAGTTACGAGTTTGATGTTGCCTTTGTTTCAGCTGCAACGGCAGAGTGCAGTAACTGAGCTCTAGTAATTAGACTTTTTCAGTTTTTGTTATGAAGATCAGAATCATTTTATCGTAAATCCGTTGGAAAGAAAAACATACGCAAATACCGTCTAGAACTACAGAAAATCTTAGTGCTCAGCTTAACAATGTATGTTTTGAAGTTTAGTGAGAGCCTTGGGGGAACAGTTGTCCCAAAATGATCACCTTATGATACCGCCTTTTAAAAATGGGTGCTGCTGTTCATACTTTAATTACAAACAGGAATATGTGTTTTCTTGGTGTGAAAGTTAGGTATACATCTTGTGTTTCGGGGGGTGTCTGCTGACTCCGAAGGCAAACATATTTTTAATTGACTAGTGGGTACATAATGATGAGGATAATCTGTGATGTGTCATACCATTCTTGAGCTAGTTGTTTTGTTTTTTAGTCAGGAAAGCTATTTGAAGTGACTAGACCTTCAGTATGGTAATAACTAGTTTCAGATAGTTGACAGCACAGATGCTGGATTTTTCTTTTTTGTAGTGCATTAATGTAATGGGCAAATAGCGGTGAACTAAAATCTAAGCATAGTTTACCTTTGTTCTGTGTCCCTTTTTTGACAGCAATTAATGATTACTTTGACTGTTGTGTTTTCTTTTTCAGTGTTAATATACTATATTACAAGATTAACCTAAAGACTTGTTGACTGTGTTCTTTGTTACTTCAACAGATGTATCTTTAATACCAACAGTGCTGCGAGAAAGAACGTAGTGCCTGCAAAAAATATGGAATATTTTTCTTTTAGTTTGAAGTTTTAAAGAGTTATAGATGATATGAAAACAATTATGGAATTATTTTTTTCTTTCAACAAGAAATAATCCTTACCACAGAAGCTAAAACAGAGCTAATGAGAAAATAATGATTTCAAGTTTTAATTCATTATCATGGGAAAGCTAGGTATTACTTGGTTTCTGTTGTAATTAAATTGCTGAAGCCATTAGTTAATACTTTAGTAATCTTCAAGGACACTTGAACAAAATTGGAATAGGAATGCAGGATGTCTAACTCATGAATGAGGGACTTTATGATAAATTCTGTAATGAATGATGAAAGAGAGAGGCACATATTGCAAAGCTGCAGGCAATCTACACTTCCTGTGCAGAATGGATGCTGCTTAAGAAGATGTGCAATTAAAAAAAAAAATTGATTCAATTCCAGATTCCACCAGCACCACCCAGGCCTGACTTTGATGCCTCAAGGGAGAAATTGCAGAAACTTGGAGAAGGGGAAGGATCAATGACTAAAGAAGAATTCACCAAGATGAAACAAGAACTGGAGGCGTATGTAGACTTGATTACTACTTTTTAGGTTGTCTTTTTTTTTTTTTTTTTTAATAGCCCTCAGCTTTTAATGCTGTTTCCTGTTCCATGTTTCTGAATCACTGTAATGGTTCTCTGTGAGATATGGGCTTGAGAATCCTGTTGCTACATAACCAGGGTTATCTTAGTAATCATGATCAGAGCCATTAGGAAAATTGTAGAAATAATTTCATGGAAGATCTTCTCAAACAGGAAAAAAGAATCTGCTTGTTCTTGAGCATTATTTTGTAAGGAAAAAGATAGTTAGGTCCTTTTCTTCACAGAACATCTGCAAAGAGAGGAGGTAACTTCTATCTTTTTTAGTTCTAGGGTTCCACATTTTGTAAGCATAGTGAGACTGAGATTTATACATGCAGTGATTGAACTAGGTTTTTTTTTTTCTTGTGGTTGGTGCTGTACCTGTAGATGCCAACCTTCAATTCCCCGAGAAATATGGCGATGACTACAAAATAAATTTTTTTGACATTCCCTTTTTTTTTTTTTGCACAAGGAGAATATACTTCTTCAAAATAGTATTTTCCTTACTGTGAATTTAATGTGTATTGAAATATCTGCTCTAAGGCTTTTTGTTTGATTTTGAGTTACACAGTGAAGTTTCTCCTTGCTTCATCCACTTTCCTTATCATGCATTCACTTCTTTGATCTTTTTCCTGTCATTGGTTTCAGTTTTCAAGTGTATATTTACGCTGCTTCTAGACTGCTTCTATCAAGAGCTCTGAATTGGCAAGAAAAGTACATAGAACTCTTAGAACTGCCGCTTTGTCTTCGAACTCCAGCTGCTGTGAGCAAATGTTTTAAAAAGCTCTGTATCTGTGTTGCCTACAACATAATTTATAGCAGAGTAGATATACACTTCATATGGAGAAAACTGGAAATTAGCCAGACACTATAAATTTTCAAGAATCTGTGGTTTTCCAGCGGCCCTGATCATGATTCTCTTGTGGTCTGGTTAGGGGTTGGATAACACAGAAAACTTTGGGTTTCTTCTACTGCCACCTCCATCCTCTGCATCCTCCTTTTTTGTCTTCACTGAATGACTACTACTCTCACTGAGATCAAACATCTCCCAACACTGGCCCTGCTGGTTTGCTGGTATGTAAATCTTAACCTCCTTGCACATAGTGGAAGCAAAAGTGTTATCATGTCACTGTTTGACCTCGGAATGGGGAAGATACCCCCTTCCTCCTTTCTATACAAGTTACATCTTACTGAATTTGCAAAGCAGAATGAATTCTAGCAAACTTATATTGATAAGAAGGCCTTCCTCTTAATTAAATCACAAATGAGTAATTGCTTTAAAGTTGAGTTGGCTGAACTGGGCAATTGTGCGATTGTCATAGTTAAATGTGATTTGGTTTTTTTTGGTTGTGCCTACCAAATGCAGCACTTAATTTCACTTTTAGAACCACTATGAAGCAAGACATCCACATAAGCTCTGATCCAAAAAGGCTGGGTGCTTTCACATAGGATAAAAGATCACTTTCTAAACAGTTAACCAAACTACACAAACATTTAAATGAGTAAGGAGGGTGCAAATAGGCAAGGGGATGGAGATGGGGAGGAAGGAATTTGCCTGTCAGCTACATAATGCCTAGTGAGTTTAGTCTGTATCTCAATTTCCTGATTTTTTGGGGAGTTGGGGAATGGACAGTTGACACCTTCAGCAATCCAATCTGTGTTAGGTAGCCTTAAAAATTAGGATATATTTGTTGGATCTTCGTTAGAAGTCTCTCTGTAATATGTTAGGGCTTCAAATTTTCCCCTAGTATTAACATTGTACTACTTATTTATGTACATATCAAATATTGCAGTGATAACCTCTATTATGTTAGCTTATAATTCTGTATCTTTACTGAGAATCTCTTAGAGCTGCTCACTAGGTTTATCTCAAGCTTAATTGCTTCACTTGAAATTCTTATGTCTGTCTTGTTTCTTGTTTCCAGTGAATATTTGGCGATATTCAAGAAGACGGTTGCAATGCATGAAGTGTTTTTGTGTCGTGTGGCAGCACATCCTATTTTGAGAAAGGATTTAAATTTCCATGTATTCTTGGAATATAATCAGGATGTGAGTATTGAAAACTGAATAGCTGGCAAGAGAAATCAAGATTTACTTTTATTATAGTAGGATGGAAAATTGATTAAGAGGATTTTACCTCCTGGAACAAATTGCATCAGTTCCTTCGTACCACACATATTTGTATTGTAAAAGTTAGAAATTAATGTAGTCTGTAGGAATTTGTTTTCTTGCCACCTGGTGAACCAGATAGACTCTGTGCTCTAGCCCCAGCATCAGAATATTAATGGGAATCCAATATGTTTTGGATTAAAAAGATTAGCTTTTGGTGCTGATTTAATGTAATGTTATACTTGTCTGCTGTTTGACTGAAGTGTTTTGGTTTTTTTGCGGGGAGAGATGATGTAACAAAGACAGAAGGCTGATTTTTGAGATTTGGAACTGTAGTTCTGTTGCAAGTAAAACTAGAAAGGATTTCTACTGAAATTTTCTGATAAGTAGAGCTTTTTTCCTAATAATGTAGGTGAAAATTCAGTTACTTTTTTTCCTAGGTATTGGACTAGTGTGGCTATTCACGTTACACACTGAGTTGCCATCTAATTTTCAGTTGTTTGAGAGGACTTTATATTTGTAACTATTTGGTGTTGGAGTTGGTTGCTTACGTTCTGCAAACAGTTCTTAGTTGCTTTTTGAAATTGCAGAAATCAGCACTGAATGCTGAAGAAATCATTAAAAGATAGGCTCAACTGAGTCGAGCTTAACATAAAAGTATATTGCAGGGGATCCTCTTGTTGCTTGATGTACAAATGCATACTGGTTCAGGAACTCAGTTCCCCCAAGTTGGGCAAATTTGGGTGGACAGGAAAAGTGTGAGAAGGCTGAAACTAACATGATCCTCAGTGCAGTGAGGGGTAGATGCTTCTGTAGTTTCTGGAAGTCAAAAATTCTTTCATTCTACTCTTAAAAGGGCAAAAATCTGGTTATATTAACTGAGCAGCTCTGCTGTGCATGATAAGTACTGTGTAACTGATAACTGAAATGTGCAGTTTGTACATTTGGTATTATCAGGGTGCTACAATGTTGCTGATTTAATTTTTTTTCTGGCATAGCATTTTAGATGATAAAGAACAGTCTAGTAAATGAGTAGTCTGTCATTCTGGGTGCATGGTGCCCTATCCCCATTAATGCAGTGTGTAAGACTAAGCACAAAGCGGGAAAACTAGTTTAGGAGTAGCAAGTTGAGGTATGTAGTTCTTTTTTTTTTTAAAAAAAACTCCATCTTTTGATTGCCTCCAGAAAACTAACTTCATAATTTGTTTTTCAGTTGAGTGTTCGTGGAAAAAATAAGAAAGAGAAACTTGAAGACTTCTTTAAAAACATGGTTAAATCAGCAGATGGTGTTATTGTTTCAGGAGTAAAGGTGATTACTACTTAACATAACAAGATTTAAAATGTATTAACATTGTCCCTTTTTTAATGAAGCAGGATTACATAGCTACAAAAAAGGGATTTTTGTAGTAATATCTGATTTAAGAATTAGAGACTGAGCATGGGAAGGAGCCAGTGGCCTGGGATGCCAGATAGCCGAGACCTTTCTGATGGCTTCTGTGAAAGAAGGCTTCCAGTATTATTTTCTCTGTTTGTGGAATTAAGCCTTCTTTAAAATTCACAGATAAATTGTAATCTGTTTTTTGTTCTGGCTTGTCATTTTGTGTCGTGGAAAGGTACAGTAGCTGTTAGTGACTGTGAATTTCACCAGCTTTGTAACACGCTTCTATTGTTTGAAAGCTAAGAACAGCAGTAGATGCAAGAATGCAAGAAACACACACACACAAAGGAGAGATAATTTTAATGAAAATTCAATTTCATTTCAGCTTTTCTAAAAGTTGGAAAGTTTGCTTTATAACAAGCATAAATTCTGCAGGAGGTGATTTATCTCCTTTCTTTCTTGTGGTAACTTTCCATCTGCAAACAGTTAAGGGAGCTAAAGTTCCTAGCTGTAAAATCCTGAGTTTCAAAACTGCTGGAAAGTGGATATAACTGTGGTTTAATTATTACTTTAGGAAAAGTAAAAAACGAAAATAACTAGAACTTTCCATAAACACATTGTTTAAAGAACATCTTGCAGTCTATTCCATGGCATTGAGCATCTGTGGTATTTTAGAGGGTTTTCTAAAATAAATGTAAACCAAATACCGCAAATTCTAATACATAAAATATTGGAATTTACCTCAAGATCAGTGTTCCTGAGGTAGGAGTTCATGTAATCTCTGCTGTGACTGCAGCATCTGTACCACTGTGTGTCTTTCTCCCCCCCCCCCCCCCCCCTTTTTTCCCTTTTATTGAGTGGTTGATGTTTACTCTGTTTTTATGTCACCAACGTGGTAGTTAGCAGTGAAATTATTTCCTTCACTTTAGGTTTAGTTATCTGGACCTTTAAGATGCTTGATACAAATTCTAATTCTTAATAAAAATTCAGATCATGATAAAATAAGTGAAGAAATCAATTTACATAAATGGTGTTCTAGACAATAAAATTGCATTTCGTGTCACAGTAGCAACAATATATGCAAATTTACTTTGCTCTGTACAGAATGTGTGAAATCCTGTTTTTTTTTAAAATTTGGTTGTTTTTTTTTTTTTTGGTAGGATGTGGATGACTTCTTTGAACATGAAAGAACATTCCTTGTAGAGTATCACAACCGAGTAAAAGATGCCTCTGCCAAATCTGATAAAATGACAAGATCACATAAAAGTGAGTTCTTTTTCCAGGATGAAAATAGTACTAATTAAAGTGCACAGAAGTGGTTTGTGAGGAGCAGTAGTTCTTAGTTTTCTTTTTGCAGGTGAAAAGTAAATTAATTTCTTCAGTTGTAGTCTTCAGATAGTCTAAAGAAGTTTAATCTGACTTTCAAAGTTTAGCCTTTGCTGTAATAGACTAAATGGAGTAAGAACAGCCTGGTGTTCACCCTTCATGCTGTCCCTTTGAAGAGAAACACACTTTGTATAATAATATTTTTTTTTAAGTCTGATTCTTACTCATTGAAGTACGAAGGTGGATAATAATAGCACTGTATGTGAAGTTGCTCTTGATTGGATGAGCTTGCGTTCATCACAGTGCAGTTTCTTGGCACACTGGGCATCAGAAAACTCCGATTTGGGCAATTAGTTCTAGACTGAGAAGTCACGTTTCCTTTTTTCACCCTTTTAGAACGGAGATTGGAATGCGTGCATGCATTAGCTTGGTTTGCACAAACCCTGTTTTACTGAGATGAGATTTTTCACCTAGCTATTGATTTCCTCAGCCGAGTGCTAACTAATGTGGTTTCTGGATAGTCCTCTCAAATGCAGTGCATTTATTTGAGAAAAGAGAATCTTTGATTTAGGACTGCTGTGTTTGGTTTAGGATTACCGTGTTTTGAGAGGCTCAGAAAAAAAGTTGACCTTTATTGCACTTGATTTTTAAGTTTTTGTTCCTAGATAAAGCAAAATTTAACTACTAGATTCTGTCCATTTTCTTAATTCTGCAGATTTGCTATCTGCAGTAATATAGTTCACTATAGTGATGTAGTTCACACAAAACCAGACCACAAACCTTTTTTTGAATCTCCATTGGTACTAACTCTAAAGTGGATATTGGATGAGACCTTAAACCAAGAATGTACTGAGCTCTTCAGATTATTCTCTTGCCATTGTATGAAGACTGAATCCTTTGTAGCTTTAGTATCTGTGCTAGAAGATGGGCAGAGTCAGTTATGGCTTAAAAGAGTACTTGAGGACCCTGTGTCTTCAGGTCCCATCTGAAGTGGTTTCTGATGCTTTGTTTGCTTTCTTAAAATTAAAGCTGAACTAGTTAGGTGCCAAACTATGTAGTGAGAGAGCCTTGGACTTGGTTGTAGAACCAGGAAAATTAGTATAAATGAGGTCGTAGAGGACCTGATGGGAAAGGATTGATCGAAGTTTTGACAAAGCTTCACTGTTTTTCAGACTCACATCACCTAGGGTGTTTATTGACAACTTTGTATCAAACTGTGAATTGGGACAAATGCCACCTTTTTCAAGTTCTGGCTAGAGCAGTAGAGCAATAACCTGGGAAGTCTGTTTTGGGCAATCTGTAGTTCGTGGATATAATTTATGATCAACAGGGAGCTGGAGGGCTGGCAAAGAACTGACTTCCTATTTCCAGCAGAAAACCTGTTTGTGCAGTTAAATGGGAGGAATAGAAGGAGAGGGTAATGGGTTCCTAATACCACTGCATGGATCCCCTTGGGATGTATGGAGTAAGGAGTTGGGTGGAAGGTGGCCCACTCAATCCACTAAACCAAGGTTTTGTTATTTTAAAAAAAAATATAGTTCTGCTTAAAGGCATATAAACTTCAAAAGTAACAAGCAAATATATTTTCCTGTTCTTTTATTAGATCTTTTTTTGTTTTCATCATCCATTAATTTTATACTAAAAGCTCTTTAAAAAAGCAAGCTGTGCAAAGATTTGATTTTTGATTACTGTATAGCAGTACCTCACTAGTCAGATTAAGCAGCCTTCTTTACAAACCATGCTTCTAATTTCATTGTTTAAAAAGGCTTCAACACTAATGCTACTTCAACCAGTGACCACTTGTTGAGGAAGGGGTTTCCTGAAAATCAGGCACATGCTAGAAAGGGTGTTGTGCAAATACCACTCTATTTTGTTAGTTTCAAGTTTGTATTCAATTTAATGCTCTCAGGGACACAGACTTTCTGTGTTATTGTTGAACTGTAATTTTTTTTTCCAAATAGTTTTAGACTTTAGATTCAGATTTTAATCCAGTTTGTGCATCTTCCACCAACATGTAGCAAAGAAAGCTGCACAATAGATTTACCCAGCAGTTGCTAGTGGTCTTAAATATTCCTAGATAAATCATCTGGCTATTTAGTGAGAATGCCATGTTATTGTGTTAAGTTATCCTTCATAAAAAGTGACATGCTTGAAATTTTTTTTCCTGCTTTTCCTCAGAAGAGGAATGAAATAGTAAAATAAGTGCTTGTTTTGTTTTCTAGATGTGGCGGATGACTATAATAGAATTGGTTCTTCATTATATGCGTTAGGAACACAGGACTCCACAGATATATGCAAGTAAGGTTGTTAATAACTTACGGGGGAATTGGCTGAGTAGCAGTCTTAAATGTGACCTGCCGAGATCAGTAGCTCTCGTTATGAGAAAACCAGAATGTATTACAGTTATGTTATTTTCTTCTCTAGTATTTCATTTCTGTAGGAGGCTGCTTGAATATTTGTCTGGAAATTTTTTTCTGCTGTTTGTAGAGTATTACACAGATAAGATGGAAAAGTCCTCGCTGAATAAGAAAAAAAACCCCTAACTCTTTCACCATTTTTTTTAAAGTGCTTTAAGTGCTTTTTGTGGGTGTTCCCTGTACTAACATCTTAAAATAATAGTTTTACTGTTCTGGCAATTTTACTGCCTTTAGGAAAAGAAAGGAATCTACAGAAATCCCTAAAACTTTAAAAATAGAAGATGGTCTGCATGTACAGATGTGTGCCTTTCAATCTATCAGTGGTTTGCTGTGTCTAAAAGTAAAATTTAGTTAACTAGGTTAAAGAGGTTGATGCTTGTGAACATGTACACTTACTAGGATTAGTGTGATGACAGGTAGGAGATGAGTATGAAAGATAACTTATTTTCATTGATTTACCTGAATTACAGGGATATACTTCCAGATAGCTTACATTTTGATTACTTGGGTTATAGTATTGAGATTTGATGTAGCCTGATGGCATCTGTCAGGAATCGTGTGTGTCTTCTGTCAGAGTAGTGCAATGTGAGTGTAGTTCAGTCCGCTGTTAGGCTGAACCCGTGCGTTGTCTCCTGTGATGAAGATGTGCCTCGTTGTTGCTCGGCCTCCCTGAATTCCAAGTGGGGCATGCGTCATGTGCACTGTGTGAGGAAAAGTACATTGAAATTTGAATGAGGGATGCTTGGTAATATCATAGGACTGTTACCCAAGGAGGTGGTGTTTGGGGTTTAATTCATAGAGGCATAAAGTATCCCTGAGGTTCTGTGCAGTTAGTCTTTAGTAAAAAGCATCCATCTGTTATGCTTTGTTTGTCCCTTTTTCTCAAGTTGTACAATTCCCAGATGTTTGAAGTGGTACAATTTGAAACTATTATGTTCTCAGAGTTCTGCGAGTTACAATTCTAAGCAGCGCCTTTACAGTCTTTATTGCGAGACACTGATTATATTTTGAGTTCTGAAAAGTATTTAGACTGTTCAAATTCATGTTGTAATACAAACTGTTTCCTTTGTGCAGGTTTTTTCTGAAGGTATCAGAGTTATTTGACAAAACAAGGGTATGTACTATGAAACCTTTTTAGATATATTCTTTGTGTACATCCTGGAAGTGGCAGGACATCTTGTGTCAACTAGACATTACTGTGTGAACGTTCTATGGATGCTTCTGCGTGAAGTGTTTAAGCAATGTGTGGTAGGGAATGGACAATCTCAAACACAGAAGGGAAGCCTGTGGAGGATGGAAGCAAGGACAGGTGGCCTGGGAAGAATACAGAGAAATTGTCTCAGCAGCCAGGGATCAGGTTAGGAAAGCCAAAGCCCTGATAGAATTAAATCTGGTGAGGGATGCCAAGCACAGCAAGAAAAGCTTCTATAGGTATGTTGGTGGTAAAAGGAAGAGTAGGGAAAATGTGGGCCCTCTCCTGAACAAAACAGGACACCTGGTTACCTGTAGTGTGAAGAAGGCTGAGATACTCAATGACTTCCCCCTCCCCTCCGAGTCTTCACTGCCAAGTGCTCCAGCAACTCTACCCAAGTCGCAGAACTCAAAGGCAGGGACTGGGAGAGTGAGGAAACGCCCACTGCAGGAGAGGATCAGGTTCGAGACCATCTAAGGAACCTGAAGGTGCATAGATCCATGGGACCTGATGAGATGCATCTGTGGGTCCTGAAAGAACTGGTGGAGGAGGTGGCTAAACCGCTGTCCATCATATTTGAGAAGTTGTGACAGTCTGGTGAAGTTCCCACTGATTGGAAAAGGGGAAATGTAGCCCCATTTTTAAAAATGGAATAAAGAAAGACCTGGGCAACTACACGCCAGTCTCACCCCTGTGCCCAGCAAGATAATGAAGCAGATCCACTTGGGAATTATGCTAAGGCATGTGGAAACTAAGGAGGTGGTTGGTAACAGCCAACATTGACTTCACTAAGGGCAAATAGTGCCTGACAAATTTGGTGACCTTTGTGATGGGATTACAGCATTCATGCATAAGGGAAGGGCAACTGATGTCATCTACCTGGACTTGTGCAAAGCGTTTGACGCAGTCCTGCGTGACATTTTTATCTCTAAACTGGAGAGACGTGAATTTCATGGAACACCTGATGGATAAGGAATTGGCTGGATGGTCACACTCATAGTTGTGGTGATCTTTGATGTCTTGACTGGAGACAAGTGACCAGTGCTGTTCCTTACGGGTCAGTATTGGGACTGTTGGTGTCCGTTGGTGACATGGACAGTGGGATCGAGTGCACCGTCAGCAAGTGTGCTGACGGCACCAAGCTGTGTGGTGTGGTCGATGCGCTGGAGGGAAGGGATGTCATCCAGAGGGACCTTGACAGGCTTAAGAGGTGGGCCCTTGCAAACCTTGTGAAGTTCAACAAGGCCAAGTGCAAGGTCCTGCGCCTGGGTCAGGGCAATCCTAAGCACAAATACAGGCTGGGCGACAAGTGGATTCAGAGCAGCCCTGCAGAGGACTTGGGGGTGCTGGTTGACAGGAAACTCAAAATACCTCAGCAATGTGTGTTTGCAGCCCAGGAAGCCAATCATATTCTGGGCTGCATCCAGAGAAGTGTGACCAGCAGGTCCGGGGAAAGATAGTTCTTCCCCTCTGCTCTTGTGAGACCTCATGTGCTGTATTGTGTTCAGCGGTGGGGCTCCAGGTGTAAGAGATACGTGGACCTCTTGGAGTGGGTCCAGAGGAGGACCATGAAGATGAAGACAGGCTGAGAGTTGGAGTTTTTCATCATGGAGAAGAGAAGGATCAGGAGACACCTTATAGCAACCTTCCAGTATTTAAAGGGGGCCTACAGGAAAACTGGACAGGGACCTGGGGACAGGGGCCTGTAGTCACAGGACAAGGAGCAATGGCTTTAAACTGAAAGAGGGTAGATTTAGATTAATCAGGAAGCTTTTCACTGCGAGGGCAGCGAGGCCCTGGAACAGGTTGGCCAGAGATGCCCCATTCCTGGAAGCGTTCAAGGCCATGTTGAATGGGGCTTTGAGCAGCCTGGGCTAGTGGGAGGTCCCAGCCTATGGTGGAGGGCTTGCAACTAGATGATATTTAAGGTTCTGTCCAACCCAAACCATTTTATGGAAAAGCATAAGATTTCAGTCATCTGTTTTGTAAAATGATTGATGCTTAGGAGTCTTCAGTCTACTTAATGTGTCTAGGCAGTCTTACTGTCTTCTATGTAACACGCTACCAAAGCCGCTGTTCCTCTAAAATGCGTAGAGGCCCTCTGTCCTTCCATACTCTGTATCACAGAACTTGTTATGGGAAAAAGAAATACAATCCTAAATTTTTTTTTTAAAAAATGGTGGTCATGCTGCTTTTTTTTCTAGAGTCAAGATCTATTTCTGCAAGTATTTGACTCAGAAATCCTGTTGCTGATGCCACTAATGAGATTTTCAAATATCTTGTCTCTTTTGCCTTGTTTAGCTTGGCAGAGCACAAGATGCATGCTATGTATCAGGAAAACTTCTGAATTAAAAAGTGTGCATTTCGTAAACACAGACAGTTGCTTCTGCAGAAATCTGTACTTTAAACAAAATGAAGTTAATGGAATTATGTGCTGTGACCTAAATATTGCCTTTTAGAATTTTTTTTAATTAAGATTTTTAAAATGCATTTCCAGACTCTGTATTTCAAGTCACTGAAATGTCTGATTCAGATACAAGCAAATAAGTTTATTTATCTTTTGAGCCTTTTAATATGTGCAGTTACACAAGTAGTCTGCAAATGTACCTTACAAATTTGTTTTCCTTTGGTCTCAAAAACAATACAAAGCTGCTTCTGCAACTCTATACTAGATAAGTTTTTGTTTCTCTGCTGTTTTTCTACTGTATGATACATATAATTGAAATTGGGAAGAAAGCGTTGTCTAAAATAGAAAGCTGGTTGTCAATTACTGCTCAGACAGTAGGTTATTGCTTACATTTTAATACAAAATAGTAATACTGCTTCTCATGATGCATCTCTAAGTATTCTGTCACAAATGCATAGTCTTAGTTTTTGAAAAAGATACTCTTTCATGTGCTATTGTATATTTGATGTTATATTCACATCATACAAGTGAATACTCAAAGCCTGGATGTTTTTAAATTGATGCTTTTACTTACTGTTTTTCCAGAAAATAGAGGCCCGGGTATCTGCTGATGAAGATCTTAAACTTTCTGATCTTCTGAAATATTACCTAAGGGAGTCTCAAGCTGCTAAGGTGAATTTATGGAATTTTGTTCAGTGAAATAGTGTTTCCTTAACAAAAAAAAGACAAAAAAAACCCAAAGAGAGAAGGAGTCATCAAATATACAGTACTTAGGTTAAAATGCTGCCACCTCTAGCCTGCAATTTCTTTCTCAACTGTAAAACCTGGATCTCCTGTGTATAAGGAATAACTGCAGTTGCTGACTGTGGGTCTGAATGTCTGGAACTGTGTGATCCACTTATCAAGACCAGGTCGTGCAGTATAATTAAAAACAGTGGAAGAGCTGTTGGTAAAATGTTCATGTCTTTGCAGTGTGTTTGCTTCAAACACGTGAGCCAAATTTGGCATTCTAGACCTACAGAAAATTTCATTCTTGGTGTTGTTTGATGTAAATAATTAAGAAACATGACAGAATGAGGAAACGTTTGTCAGAAAATATCTGTAGTTAGAAGATCACACCAATAACTTGCACCAAAAAAAAGCTACTGTTGTTTCTTGGGCCCTGTGTGTATTTCAAATACATGATCAAAATGTGGTTTGTTTCTAATCTTAGAAGCTGTGAAATTTCTCAAGATTACACCTTCTTAGGCTCTTTGGAGTATCATCTAAGCTGTCTATTGCTAGCCTGTCAGACAAGATGCACAATTTAATATTGTTTGGTCTGTATCTGACCCAGTATGGACATTCCTGTGACTTGTGTGATAAAGTACAGTGAATGCAAGTAATTTCACAAGAACTGAAATACAGCAAGGACTAAAATTAACCTTACTGGTTTTGTTGTTGTTTTTTTTTTTTTTAGTTGCTTGGTATATACTAAAATCCTTGGGTAGATTCTTGTAAACTCTCTATGTATTTCGTGCCTTTTTTTTTTAATAGGATCTCCTATATAGAAGATCTAGATCACTAGTGGATTATGAAAATGCTAATAAAGCTTTGGATAAAGCAAGAGCAAAAAATAAAGATGTGCTGCAAGCTGAAACTACTCAGCAAATATGCTGTCAGAAATTTGAGAAAATTTCTGAATCGGCTAAACAAGGTATTTGAGAAGTCTTTGATCTTGTGTTACAACTTGAAAATTAATAGATTTTAGGATATATTAATGAAGATGGATTTTTGTTTCCTAAGCAGAACAATTATATTTTAATCAGTATTCACTTATTTTAGAAAGTTCAAATTATATTTTCCTGTGGCTCCTCATAGCTCCATTAGACAGAGCAAAGTCTCAGTGCAGATCATTTGTTAACCACTTTTTTCTTTATATGCATAGGATAGGATAGCAGTAAAGGCAACCGTAATCTTCTAAAGTATTGGTTTAAGTCTCCTTTTGATTTTATGCATTCTTCTGTGAGGGCAGCAGTCCATTGCAAAGATGATACTATATTAAGAAAGAGAGATCATAAACTGAGATTTCACTGAAGTTGCAGAGTTACAGTAGCTCTAGAGAAAATTAACCTTATTTATATGTTGCCTTTTTCCTGGAAACTTAGTCTCTTTTTTTTTTTTTCTAAGCTAAAATTGTTCTGAGGTAGACATCTGACTTGTTACTTGGGACAGATTTGTTCAAGGTTTAAACACCATGCTCCTCTGTTTTTGTAATTTAAGAGTTGTTTGACCCTGTAAATCTGGCTGATGATTCTTATAAATTGAGACAGTGGTCTTATTAGCCACAAAGGTATATGTGTAAAGCATACTTGCTTCCTCTCTTCTTCAGGCTAGTTTTAGCTTAGTATATTCCCTAAAGACTTTCACATACCAGCCTTGAAAAAACAGTGCACATGGAAAAAGAAAATTGTTTAAAAGCATCCACATGGCAGTCTTTTTTCAAAAGAGCTTTGTGTTCACGAAAGGTTAGCTAGAGATGAGGAACTGCAATGATGGTTTACTCTCATCCAACAATGTAGCAGAATCTCTGAATCTGGAATGTGCTGAGATTAAACTCCAGTTTTTTCCTGTTGCCTTCTCTCACTCTTTACCTCTGCCATCCTGAAGGAAAGTCTGTTAACAGTTGAAGGCGGTAGCAATAATACTGTTGATGAATCTATCTTTGTTTTATATAGAACTGATAGATTTTAAGACAAGAAGAGTTGCAGCATTCAGAAAAAATCTGGTGGAACTAGCAGAACTGGAATTAAAGCATGCTAAGGTAATTGTGATCCTTTTGGTTCTGTATTTCAACTGATTTTAAATATCACATGCTTGAATAACTGAAACAGCTACATTTGATGTGTGATAAGCAACTGACGTTCAGGAAGGGGAAATGGAAGGTAAACATCATCCAGAAAGCTGAACTTTCTTCAGTAATAGAGAAGAAAAACCATGTATGGGTAAAATATCTCTGAGGGACTGGTATGTTTGAGATGCCTGTGGAAAACTCATCTCCTTGAAGACAATTTCAGCTTTGGTTTTATGTTTCTCCAGCAGTTTGATATTTTTAGCTGCAGAGTTTGAATACCACCTGCTTTTAAAACTTCGTCTCAACGTTTTACTGTGAGATAGGAAGTGGTTTCTTGTGTTATACAGATGTTGGGGACTTGATGTGTAGGATCGGCTTAACTCTTAAGCACAGGCATGTCTGCAGTCAGGTCAGTGTCACTCTGAGTATGCTTTTTTGAACCTTTTTGCCCTTCCTCTTCTGTTAGCACTTGATAGTTTAATGTTGCAGACAAAGGTTTGTTTTTACTGCAATGGCCAAGGAGGCTGTACTGTTCTTAACTTTCACAATGTATTAGATTCTTCTAGTCTGTATGAAATGAACGTTTTGGTTTAAATTAGGTTAGCTGCTCTGATTTCATAGACAAGTACAACAGTTTCTTATCAGTCCTATAGCAGGAGGTGGCTTTTTAAAAAAAAAAAGTTAGCTCTTCAACATTTCTCATTCTCATCACAAATCTGAAAGTGTTGATCACCAAGCTTTGAAATAACTTAGAATATATCTGCTGAAAGCACTAGTTAAGAGGTGTGTAGTGCTGCTAAGTTAACTTGTTGCTGCTATATACTCTTCTCAGTAGTGACAGTGTCATTCTTCATTCTGCCAAACCCGTTGTTCATATAGCTAATGCATTGTTAACAGGATTGGTTTGGAGCACTTCATTTTTTTTTCTTTTTAATCTTTGTAGGTGTGGGTTCAGCTTGATGGAATATTTAACTGCTAAAGTAATCAATAAGGTCTGCAATACTCAGCTCTTTGCAGGTGAACAGTGCTTGCTCTCATGTACTGTATCAGAAATTCAGCTATACTTCTTCCAAAATCTTAAAACTTCTCATGATAGTTGGCACCACTCAGTCTTCCTACTTCTCTGTGTGTAACAGCTGTCCATATCCAACCCTGAGTCTCCCAGAAATCCCCATGTTTGGTCATGAATGTACCAATTATGGGTTTTAGGGAACTTAATAGTCCCAGCAGTCATACATGCCACAGTTTTTATTGATCTGCCATGTTATGCTTTACTAAGGGAATGAATCCACAGCACTTTTGTCCTGCTTCAGTCACTGACTCTTCATCTCTTGTAGCTGACCTGTGTGGAAGTCCCTGCATGCCTTGGGGTGGAATGCTTAAAACAAGGTCTCTGTCTTCTGAAGTATCCTTAGCGAATCACTTGTATTAACTCTGTGCAAGTCAGAATGTTATAATAATATTCTCTTGAATTTTGACAGCTCATAACTGCAGAAGGCAGGGGAAAAAATGCTTAGTTTCTGTAGCTTTAAACTTGCTTGATACTTGCTCTTGGTGCCCTTAGTTTACCTGGAATTTTCTTAGCAGTTCTTCATTTGTCACCACAGCTTGTGTTTTAAGATGTAGTTCTTCAGATAGTCTATCTCATTCTGACTTAGTTTAGTAAATTTACTAACAAGGAGTATATAAGGCTATAGGAGAAGTTTTGAACTGTAGTCCTGGTTTTGAAGGTGAACTTTTTTTTTTTCCCCGACCCATTTCACCTAATTTATCATGGAGCTTTGTAAGATTCATTGGACCATTTTCAGTGTTTAAAGCTTAAAACTATAAAAGGTAAGTTTGGCTAAGGGTGACAGTTCTTGAAATGTTAACTCATGTAATGACTTGCTGAATAAAGGGATATTTTGTTCCTCAGTAAGTTTGAAAGTTCTGTTTTTTCAAAGGCTTTGTTTCATGTTTATTCAAAACGAACTACTACAGATGGATCAGTTTGCTGTGCTTTTATTTCTACAGATTCTGGTGGGATTGTTACAGAATTTATGAGTGAAAGAGATCATATTTTTAGATTTTTATAATGGGAAGTTTTCTTCTTAATGCTCTAACCAGCATATCTGAGGATAGTCTTACGGATAAGTTACTAGTCTGTACAGAATATTGAAAGGTGACATGGTTTGCTGGAGGCTTTGAGGTAGTTCCATAAAAGGAAGAAAGAAGATAAGGAAAGACTTTGCTCTTTTTTGAGAGGACATCGTGCCCTGATGTGTGAAGAGCAATGTTAGGGGAATATGAAGGTTTCTCCTTGTCCCAGAGAGGATGTTTTTATACTTGTTGCAATGTAAATCGTGAACAGTGCTCACATTTCATGAAGGTGAGGCTAAGTAGCCCTGATTTTGGCTGGGCTAAGCTGGTGTGTTTGTAGACACCTAATTCCTCTTGCAGTAGAGCCAAAAGAGGGCTGGTAGAAGCAAAAAAGAAAGCGGCTTTTTCATGCAGGCAATAAATGAATGATATCAGATCTAAAGCCCCCTGCTTTAAGGTCCTGGACAAAATAATTTGCCTGATGCTGTGGCAGTCGCTGTCTTCATGGTTTTGCAGCTACTGGAGGCAGGTGAAATTTTACCAGCCCCAAAGTGGAAATTGCTTGGTTTGACACTGGCATGTGGAGCACAGCACTCCCAGACTTTGCAACATGATCTGTTACTCAGGTCTAAGTGCTCCTTCCAGCAAGAAACTAAGTGGTGAGCAGGGACTGAGGGCAACAGACGACAGGGCTGCAGGCTTGTGCTACAAGTCTGCTATTGTGTTGCATTAGTTGTGTGTTTGTGGTTGGTTTGTTTGTTTGTTTTTTTTTTTCTTCCTGGAATGAATACCTCCAGACTAGATGTCATGCAGATGCATCTGTCTGAATTGGTCCATCCGTGTGTCTTTTGGAGTTGCCTGGCACAGAAAGCCCAGAGGTGAAATATGATGCAGCAATGGGTGCTGGAACTCACCTGGGAGGAATTTAGCTGCAGTGAAGGTTGCTGCATGACTTCGTGTTAAAGGTTATTTGCTCTGTGTGGAAAGAAAAACACAAATCCCAAAACACAGAGATCTCTGTACTGAGGAAGCTGGAATGTATTGTGAGAAGATTCTGAAACACGGCTCACATTTTCTGAGTTGTCTGGCTCTGTGCCTCTAGAAGATTTGAGGGTGATAGGGAAATTAAACTTTTAGTGAATTGATGACACTGTATATACAAATACTAAGTGTACTCTCTCTGCCTACTTACGTTTATACTACTTCCTCATAAAATACTTGTTTTAATCTGCTAATATCCTCTTATTCTTTCCTGGTTGCAGCTTAAAACTTTTGAAAAAGCTAAAAATCAGGCTGTGTGTTGCAAGTTGATGCAAGTGCAGACTCCTGCCAGGAAGGATGACAACACATGACTCTGTTCCTTTCCCTTATGTTGATGCTATTATGTGTGCAGCTGTGTAGTAAGATGGAGCTAAAATTTCCTCTGGATTTTCTAAGCTTTACTTTCGGTCTTGTTTTCATAGCATTCCTTGTGTCAAAACACAGTCTTGGCTGGGAATAAGAGCGAGCTGCCTTCTTATCAGCACCATGTACCCTGGTTTAACTTAAAGTAGTTGCCAAACTTCAGCTGTAGATTCTGCTTGGTCTCTGACCCACTCTAAACAGATTGATGTTTCTTTTCCTACAGCCATTCTCTCTTGACTGACCCTCAAGGCAGTGTTTAACTTCTGTTTTCTGTGTCTGTCTGTCTTCATTACTTTATGCGGCTCTAGCTGATGTAAGACTTGATTGAATGTTTGTGCACTTAGTGCAAAAACTGTATTTAAACCTATTCAGTATTTTAAACAGTTGAATTTTGAGGTGTTCCTGTGTTGGACTTCATGTTCGTGTTTGATAGCTGATGAAACTGTTAAGGTTATAATCATATGCTTATAGAATTTATAGCCTTGGCTCTACTTGTTAGAGTCTTTTGACATATGAAGTGTAACTGGATAGCCACTTCCTTAGAATAAAAAAATCTAATCATCTCTTACCACAAATACTAATATCTACACTTTTTCCTCTATGAGTTTTTGTGGAAAAAAGAATTTGTTGCATTACTACCAACAGATGTCGGTTTGGAACTGACAGAAGAAGGGAGTAAGCAAAATCCAGTGCTAAGGGATTTGGTTAAATGCTTTGTCAGTAATTCTTTCTTTCCTGAAATGGATATTTCTGTCATGGTTCTGCCAATAGCTGTAATATCTAGAGCTTAGGCGTCTGAGTTGGCAAGAAGCACTTTCCTGAATCTGAATTTATTGGACTTTCTTGAGCTATGCTGATGTAAGTCAAGATGCCAGCTGCTGCAGCCAGAAAGAGTAATGTCTTTAAGATTGTTCTTGTGAACTTTGTAAATTTGATCTAATCAAAATGAATGATTTGCCTATTTGGGAAATGTCAGTAGACTGGCTGGCCGAGTCTGGAAATGACTGATGTATGTCCCCATGTGTTGCCTGGTCTAGTCGAGAGGTGTCCCTGCCTACAACAGGGAGGTTGGACTAGACGATCTCTAAGGTCCCTTCCAGCCTAGGCCATTCTATGATTCTATGACATCTTGGTACCCGCTTTTCTTTAGAGTGCTGTGTAGTGGCCTGTGAATTGCAAATATCTTCATGCTGTTGATGGGCTGTAAAGAGATGGCCAGAAGATCACTGTCACACTTTTGCGATAGGTGACATGCATGCAGTCCACAATTATACTTCAGACTGAAGCATTGGGTCTGAAGACTGAAGACTTCAGACTAAAGGACTCCTTTTAATTCTTTACTTCTTTACAGCTAATAATCAGCTGTTCAGTAACAGACCTTAGATTTATGTGTCTTGTACACTGCAAAGATGGGCCACTATGTCCCCATGCATCTCGTGTATTGAACTTGTTCATATCATCGAATTACAAGCCTTTTAAAGAGCTTGTGACTGTCCTCTGCCAGTACAGGCATAAAAGGAAAGAAAAAAAACAAACCTGTTGAAGCTGTAACTGAAATTGCTGTCTTCTGGAGAGGACTGAAAAGCATTCAGCAGACACAAGAGAGTCTTTCTTCTAATTTGAAGCCTTTAATTGCTTAAACTGGATTATAAGAACCTTAATGGGGGATAGAATTAAGATTTCTTACCTTTTGGGGCTGAGGGATGAGTGTCCTTCTGCATGTCTACCACAGGTCACTCGGAATGCTTTCAGCTGAAAAAGTAAGAATTGCAGATTCTTTAGTACTTGCTTGGACTGTTTATCAAGGACATTCAAATCACAGCTGCTGATACTGTTTAGTTTATATGCTTTTGTTTGAGGTTTTCTTTATGTGTTTCTTTCTTGATCCAACAATTGTTTAGAACAAAGCAGTTTCTCCCATGTTTATGACTGGGCATGCAGACTGTTTTGTTCTTGCATTTTCTCTGAACCTGGTAGGAATTACTTGGAACACTGTCGACACCTTAACATTGTTTCTTAGGCAGAGATTGGGAACAAATCTAGTACAGCTATTTCGTAGTGAATAGCCAATAGTTTGAAGTGATCTAAGCATAAATGAATGCAGAAAACAATACTGTGAACACCAGGTTGGGTGTGGGTTTTGGTTTTTGTTTTTTTTTACCTTGAAAGTAAATCCTGGTGTATTTGTCAATCACATTTGCTTAATTCACAAGGGTATCTTTCTAAGTGTCAGTTCTTTAAATTTGTTCAGGAATCTGTATGGTTTTATGGTAGAGTCAGAGTGGTTTAAATAAGGTTAAAAACTGACCTACAGGTGTTTGAAAAGAAGGGCAGAACTTGGCCTTAGAGATACAGATTAGGTGATGTTCTGATAATCGCTTCTGTAGCTCCAGCTCTCATGGTTGAACTCAACTGGGATGACTGGCTTAGCTCGTAAATCTGTCTTTATCTTTCAAACAAGGCCTGTCCGCAAACAGTTTAGATGGCTGCTGTAGACAGGATATTCTGAGTGCTGTGCATTGGCTAACACTTCTTGAGGAATTCAATATAATAGATAAATACTTGTGCTTTGGGACTGATATTCCGGTGACAGAGTAATAGCAATACTATATAGAGGAAAAAAAAAAGAAAATTTTTAAACTTTGACCTTAATTGCTATGACAGTGCTCTGCAGTAAATAGTTTTTGTGGCTAGACGAGTAAAAAAACTTCTGAAGAAACATGGGAAGTATACTAAATGCTTATTTTTGAATCTCAAGTTGGCTGTTTAGTTCCACAACACAATGCTCCTACATTCAAAAACCTCTTTAACGTAAAAGTTAGTTACATAAATATTTCTGCATAAGCTGAATACCTGTTTGTTCTCTTTCAGTGGTGTAATTGCTAGTATAAAACCCCATCTTTTTGCCACAAGTGTAAAAGAAAGTAGGGAAATGTGGTCATATTTGTGTTTATTTTTGCAGGGTAACTTACAGCTGCTGCAGAGCTGCCTGGCAGTGTTAAATGGTGACACATAAGCTACGCTCCGTCCTCCCACTCACAAGGGCTGCCCTCCTCTGGATTTTGTTTTCATGACTCTAAATAGGCATTCACAGTTCCCTGGAGAAAACATTTGACAAAGTGCACATAAGCAAGCTCCTTCCTTCAAAAGAATTAAAACAAACACCTGAAAGTAGCTCCAGACTACATGAAGCAACAACGTACTTGTTATACATACCATACTCATGTTTATTTAATCATTATATGCTTTTATTGTTTGGAAACCAAATGCTCTGTTTTTGTGAAAATAGCCAATATAATTATGTTCATGTTATGAATACTATGATACGGCTACCAATCTTATTTACCTTTGTAAGTAATTTCAGAAGTTCAGCATTTGAAGCACATTGTTCAAATGGCCTAAATATTACCATTAGATATTTGAATATTGTTACTATAATGGCATTGTATACACTGTCCTAGTTTTTTTTTTCCATGTACTGATATCAAGAAACTTAATCTTTTTTTCAATTGTGAACATTTCTTAGAAATTTTGGAGAACTTTGTGTAACCTTTATAACTATGATTTAAAAAGAAAAGCAAATGCATTAGTATGTTTGCCTTAACTTGTAGACTAATCCAATTATTGTAAAATAAACCATGAAATCAATGATTTTTCTAAAATTATGCAGACATGGTATCATCTGTAAGCTTAATATTTTCTAGTAAATCAGATTAATTTAATTAGCTTTTCCTCTATTTATCCTATTAAACCATTGAGTAAGTATTGGATTGGTCTGACACTAAAACCTCGCCCAGTAGTTTCTCACTTGCATTCTCAGGTTTATCCATTTGCCTGTCCATTTTTCTGTGACTTTCTTACCAATGTACTTAAATTGTTTTGAGCTTGGTGGCTGACTCTACAATTTCTTTGTCAGAAATGCTTTTCAGGAACTCCTGGGGTTTCTTTCTGGAAGGGGGAAATAAAGCAGCAGAAGGGAGTTCAGAAAGTACATAAAACATCAATGCAAGGTGGTACTGCCCCACTTCAGTACAGATAAGCTCTGCTTCAGAAAATAAGAAGTGAAGGTGTCCCGAATAAAGGAATGCCTGAAGAGGATCTCATTCTGCTAGCTGGACTTTAAAACTTAGAGCTATGAATCTGGTCTTACTTGTTGTATTGCTTTGTCTCTCTTGCTTGAACCATGAAACTTTTCCAAGAGGTGCTGTTCTGTCGTGTAATTTCAGGATGTCACAAAATTAGGCTTTACTACGTGACTTTCTCTTCCTGGGGGGATTCCCGCTTTGTACGGGTTTGTAGACCGTCAGTGGGGCAGCAGAATTTGGGGTGAATGAGATGTTTGGAGATGCCGATCACTGTAAGCCCATGTCTCGGAGATCACAGACTCCCCGTACCCTCGCACAGAGGGCTGCCGTTTCGTCTGGGTTGGTTCGTTTTTGGTTTTTTCCCTCGAGCAGGGTGAGTTGGGCAGCGCAGTGTGCTGGTCCTGCCGCTGCGTCTGGGAACGGCTCACAGGCCGGCACAGGGGGGTTCTGAGCCCGGCCTTGTCCCCGCGGCCTGCGTCGCTTTGCCACAGCGTGCTCTTCATCTTCCAGGCGGCACAGGTGTAATTCCTAAGGAACTCATCTATAAATAGACTGTAAGGGACGTGGTTACAATGTACATACCTCTAACGATATTGTAAATATTTTAAGTGGGATGTGGGATCAGTTTTTAGGTTAGTCCTCGCTGTTCAGTGTTAACTAGCTCATTAAATTTTTTTTCAAGCCTCTTGGTATTGGGTCTCTCTCTTAAAGCCCTAACCCCTGGCAGCGTTAACTTTGAAGGGAAAAAAAAAAAAAAGAAGAA